GAGTAGTAGTGTAATGTAAACTGGTAGAGTAGTGTATGACATCTGTTGATGTAAGAATGCTATTAGGTGTCATTATAATATCTGTTGTAGTGGTGGAGGATGATAGTATTGTCATTGTAGTAACAGTATTAATGTCTTCAGTAACAGTAGAGGATGATGTTTCAGTCACTGAAGGAACTGGCTCTAAAAATAAACAATTCATAAATGATTATATTAAGAAATTACAAGAAGCTCACTTGTTATAACTGATATCAGTGGATATTCATTATGTTCCAATAGTACTAATCCATTACTACTATCAAGCTCATAATTCAATGGTCCATTGTATTGTTGATAATACATTGGATTACTATTAGTGGTTACATTGATTACTAATATATCTCCATACTCTACTTCAATATCACTTGTAAAGTTATATACATTACCATTACTTGATGTAGCAGCAGAAGCATCAACAGTTAGTGCATGAATCAGTTCAGAAGAACGTTTTAAATAAATGTTAGGATAATGTTTGCTTGTATCCTGATTCTGTGTAATACCAATTATCCAGTTAGTAATAATACCACTACATGTGAACTGTATATCAGGAAAAGCTCTTGTATCACTGACTGGTATTACACTAGTAACTGATAGACTGTTTGTATTAATATCAGTTTCAGTGAAAAAATTTCGAAAGCAATTCGGTGGATCTAGATAATGTTACAAAATATTATTACAGAATGATACATACTTGTGTTTAGACGTAGCATAAAGACATTATTTGTATTCTGAAAATCAGCTTCTCTATTTGAACCAGTTACTCTGATATTTGACTCGCTAATGGAGTCTGCTCTTATCCTTCCAACTCTTTCTGTGCTGCTAGTGGTTGCATTGTAAAGTCTAACAACACTTGAATCATCTTCAGGTTGATACACTCCTAGTCTGTAATTATCACGATTACTGCCACTTACACTAATAGGAGTAGGAAGAATGTAACGATATAATCCATTTGTAGTGACATTATCAGGAGACAGTACAATAGGAAGAGTAAGTACTTTTTGGTAAGTAGAACTACCATCATAATACCATGCCTCAATGTTAGGATACTTGTTCCTATTTCCATATACTGATCTGATATCGACTCCAACAAGTGTAACAGGGTAAAAAATATTCCTATAATTGATTTCACCACCTTGCAAGTACAACTTGGTCATTATTAAGACTTATAGAGGTTCTCTCTACCTTATAATGCTTCTAGAGAAGTGTTTAGACAGTATCTCTATGCTCTCTCTTGCTGTTAGAAAGCTCTTAACTTTGTCCCATGTGTAAGCCGCCATTTTGTTTGCCGTGACCACACCCACTCACGTAAAGGAGCGTGGGCGGGTGGTTGCTAAGGCTTGTTATTTCTCCAATACAACGTGTATAGAAGAAATGTAAGTGTGGACATACAAATAAATATATATATATACATAGCGCGACGGTGAATTCAATTATAGGAACGACCTGGGGGCTTCGCCCCCAGGTCGTTAAAAAGAAATTCAGTCACAGTAGCAGTACTACAATTGAATGTATCAAAGGCAATGAGCCATCTTCCTTCATTGTCCTCAGCTAAAGTATTATCAGCTAGTGAACCAACTGGTGTAGCTGCTTTAGCTACTAGTAGACTCAAGTCCATGAATCCTTCAGTACATACTCCTTCTCCTGTTGCTCCTTCATTACTAGCAACCAATAATAATAGGATAAAGACAGCAAGTGAAAGAGCAGAGGAAAGAGCAGACATTTCTTGATTTCTGCAGTAACAGCTATTAATTATTCATTACTACTTAGAAAAGCCACTCCTACTTCATTGGCTTCCACGTGTTGTCACGTGTCTACTAGAAACAGAGTTAACAGATAAAAACAGAACACTTAATCCATCGATATATTATGAGCATTTTGCCATACTTGTAAGCTTATTGTACATACATGTACTGTACTGTTTCTAATTAGTGTAGCTTGTTCTGCACATTATAACGATCTTTTTAAAATTTTTAATGTAGGTATCTACTTGATATCACATTAGAATGAATTACATGATGAATAGAGCAAGGGGAAAGGTTCATGGTCTTTGGCCAAAATTTCAGGTACACATATGTTTTTATGTTGCATAGAAAATTTGAGCTGATTTCAATCAAATTTAGATTTTTTTACAAATTTTTAAAAGTGACCTAAAAATTGAGCCAAAGTCCTGTACTATAGCACACAATTTTTAGCCAAATTTTGCCTTAAAAAGGTGATAATTCTCCATTTTATAATTTTTTCTGATACACATACATGTTCTTATGTTGTGTAGAAAGTTTGAGTTGATTCTGATCAAAATTAGATTTATTAATGATGCTCTAAAGTTTGGTCAAAAATGGCTAGAACAGAATTTTCCATTTTTATTACATTTTCTAATTTACATACTTGCACTTACAGGGGCGGATCCAGGATTTTGCAAATGGAGGGGTCGAGGAAAAAATAGCGCGCGAAGCGCGCCGAAATTTTGGCCACGCCCCCTTTTCGGCGCTATTTTGTAGTTAAATCACGTGAAAATCAACTTTTCTACCATTTTTGGAGCTCATTCTTTGTTAATTATATTCATTAACAGTAATGTTGCTATATAAACTAGGTGGTTAGCACTTTCACCACTGTTGCAACAATAAAAACATTAAAAATTTTTTGAGTTAGAATGTTTTGGGGGGGGGTTGCAACCCCACAAACCCCCCCCCTAGATCCGCCCCTGACTTATGTCATTTAGAAAGTTTGAGTTGCTATATGATCAAACTGGTTTTATTCAAAATTTGACCATGGATCATGTATGGATGAGCTATCAATTTAGAAAGGTTGCAATACATTTTTCTGAATTTAGAACTGATTCCAATCATAAATATCATACACAGACAGGGATTGGAGACTTCCTCAATTTAATTTTGTCATTGCCATGGTTATTGTTTATAGGTTATTAATATTTAAAATGACACATAAACTGTCACAATACATTTCATACAAACAACAAATGGTAGTAATGGGGATATAACAAAAATTACAATTCTGTCTGCAATAAATTAAAAAAAAGAAGATGGAGATAAAATCAGTTCTTGTACATGTACTGTAAGTCGGTGTAGAGGGAGTGGCTTGTTTCTAAAGCTCCACCCAGAACAGTAACAGGATCCTCTTTATTAATCATTAGTAATTGTTTATCAGGTGAGGATAGACTTGATGATATATCTGAGAAACTTGGGCGATTGTAAGTATCAGGATTCCTACGTTGAATACAAAATAGGATATCATTGTACAATATTTATTACATTATCTTTAATGAAAATTATTGATATCACATTATATTAATTGTGTGTGGGCGTTCATGGAAGCATGTTGTAGTTGAATGTGAAATGACAATGACACTGTAGTATGTGGATATGGTGCAGTTAGAGTAATGTGTGTGTGACCATATCTAATCGAATTGTGCCTAGCCCCTACTTATGACAATTTCTGTATGTATGCATGAATCTATGTATGCATGCGTGCATTTGGGAGTGTGACTAGGAGGTGTGGTCACAAGGCAGAGCCCCTCAATGTTTACATTCTTTCTAGTTTAGCCCTAGTTGACATATTTGGCTGTATTTTAGTATGTTATTGTTTTAAATTCCATTAGTTGTAAACAAGGGCGTAGGGAGAAAAAAAGGAAGGGGTAGGCTATGAGCAGAAAAGGGCGCGCGAAGCGCGCCGCCGATTTTGCCACACCCACTTTTACGCCTGCGAAATGGGCGTGTTCTCGCAATATGGAGTTTCATTTACTCTAATATCTATGCATGGTTCTCGCAACTGCTTCACACTCAGACTCAGATGAGGACTCAGGCAAGACTCAAGGTAGCAGCACAATCAACAAAATCATCATTCACAAGATCATCATCTTCAATCTCCTCATGCTCATCTTCAGTACAAATAGTCTATATGGCTGGGGTTGACTACTAATATACTCAACTAAAATTTGCATAAAAAATCACAAAACTTTTGTTTCTTTGCAGCTGACATTGTGATGGCTTCACTTAAAGTTAACTTTTTATAATTTTATTAAGCTAGCTAATTAATTAAGTTAATTATGTAAAGACTCCACCTTAATAAATTATAATAATTGTGCTAAAATGGCTGTTTTTCTTTTCTTTCTCCTGTCTCTGTTTGCCTGTGTCAAAAGTGACTGAGTAAGTAACTGCCAGTTGAGACAGCTACCCTAAACTTATATAATCTTTGGTCATAAGTGACTAAGGCAGAAACTCAATATAGGTAAACTACTAAACTTCAATTCTGACTTCTGAACTTCAGGGTAGGCTATAGCCTACCCTAGCCTTATGCTAGCTACGCCCTTGGTTGTAAACATGTTTGTGTTTTATTAGTTACATGCATACATGTAGTAGAGCTAATAATAAATACATACCAGCATTGCATCATTAGTTTATACATTGGTTTAGGACATCCTGGAGGAGGTGGTAATCTATAGCCTGAATCAACCAGTCTAATGCACTAAAATTAGTAAAATAAAATAAAATTTTAAAAGTATAATATCATACTTCTTGATTGGTATATAGTTCAAATGGTTTATGTCCTAAAGACCAAATCTCATACATTACAGCTCCATAACTCCACACATCACTAGCACTCGAATATTTCTTATAATGTAATGCCTATACATACACAATTCAATATTCTAATTATATAGTTTCTAATTACTTCTGGTGCTGTCCATTTTATTGGAATCTTTTTTGCTTGTGAAATATAATAAGATTCATTTTGTAGATCCCTTGACATACCAAAGTCAGCAATCTGAGACCATACTATATAAAGTCCAATTCTTAGTACTAATCTCTTACCTTGCATATTCCTGTTCCTTTATCTGATACTAATATATTTCTTGCTGCAAGATCTCTGTGAACAAACTTCTTCCTTGACAAGTGCTCCATTCCTGAAGCAATTTGACGACAAAATGAGAGCAAAATAGAAGGAACTGATGATAATACTAACTCCCCAGG